GAAAGTCTGGCGTTGGATGGGTTCGTCAAAAATCTTTGCTATAAGTGTTGCCGGTATTTTTCCTTCTTCAAATAAAACTGAAATGATCCAGAAACGCGGAGAGCCTTGTGGAATTGAGCGATATTCATCTGTGAGAATATACGCTGGGTCGTGGATGAGCTCTTCGAGCTCCTCTACTCCCTCAAGCCAAAAGAGGCTTGATAACGGTCCGATGAACAAGGAGACCTGCTCGCCATCCTCATATAGATATTGTGATATCTCTTCTGGAATATCACCGGGAAATTCAATTCCTGCAGCCCAAACAGGTTGGTAGTCGGTTGCGTACAGATCGAATATGTCTCTCTCGTCTCTCATTGTGAGGGTATTTTGGTCACTTGGAGTTTGAGATGGAGTTGGTGGCCAACGGCAAGAGCTCTTCAAAGTGGAGTCGTTATCACTGGTCAAAGTCGGTGGAGGTGGAATTTTGTCGTTGTCACTGGTCAATGACGGTGGAATTTTGGAATGTGGGACGTTTAGTTCGGTCTCGGCTAGCGGCAGTAGTGGTAGATTGACAGTACTACTACTCGTAGACGCAACTGTACCAGGGGAAGACCCCCGCTTTCTCTTTGAGCTCCGAGTTTCCATTGTCAATTAACAAAGGCGAGGTCGTCAAGAAAAGCAAAAAACCTCGGATGAACAGAAATGGAAACAGTTGTTACGGTGGACGGGATTACAGTTATGAAAGGATACTAGCGAAATTTTGCTGAAATACATGTATTATACCAGAGCCTGTCAGGTGACCTGATAGTATGTATACTCCCCAGTACTATAGGCAAAAACATACACGTGACCTAATTAGCGTGTTGCGTTTTATTGATGGTGCTTACTTAGGCCGCTCATGCCTACACGAGTGTCCTGTAAGTATACATAGAAATATGCTTGCTTGGTATGGGCTTGGATTGCGCACCTGGCCCCAGGGGGCACCTGGGCAGTGGCGCTCATTAATAATCTTCACGATAACATCAATTGATGCTGTATTTTATTTAAGGGCGGTTCCAGGCTCGCAAAGTTCGGATATCGGATCCAAACGGATGATTGTCAATTTGTTTCACTGAGTAGAAGATCGTTCTAGATTCGGAGGCCTTTACTTGTTGTGGCTGTGTACAGAATACGGGTGCTTCGGATGCTTGAATAAACGCTACTCGTAGGTCTGTCAGTCTGAGGGAATAGCTCAGGGGTGCACCATTCGGTTTTTCACACATGCTCCCCCGTGCCCAGAATGCATGCTGCGACGGGATAAGCAATCCAATGGCCTTCTGCAACTTTAGAAACTTTAGAAACATTGTCAACCCCTCGATGCCTGAGTACTCGTAATCATACAAAGTAAACGGCGATGAACTCTGTGGCTCAGTTGATTGCAAGGGGCCCCTCGCTTGATAGATCTGCAAGGCGCAACCGATACATCAAAGGGCCCTGGAGGTTATCATTTGATGTGGATGATATTGAGACCCATAATCACCAGTAAAGTTATCGTTGTGCGAATTGAAGGGTCCATGGGTGTTTCAAATCCAGTGCTCGCACGACGGTAACGTGGGCCTAAGGAATACTCGTACATAAGTTCCGAACTGAGATACATACTCGTATGTACAGGTGGGTTTCAAAAAGTACAAGCCTGGTAATTGCCTACCAGAGGCATCCAAGTCATTTAAGATGATCTGATGTTACCCATGAATTGGCCTCGAATCAAATATTTGCATGAGACCAGAAGACCTGCCTAGCTGGCGATGCCACTTGTATACGGAGCACTCCGTACTCGTAAATAGGGCACGTTTATGTGTTTCTAAAGTTATACATAGAGCAAAGTACGGAATCCAATGCAGATCATGAGCCACACCCAAATTTCAGTGCGTAACTGATGCGGATCATACACATTTGATGCAGGGCCTTCCGTTACAGGAACGATACGCGACAGTCTGGTCCACTCGGGAGCGGCCGTTCATTACCCATGGAAACGGTATGGCCGGTATGCGCAACTTCTGCAGAGTAAACAACACATCGTAGTGTACTCCGTATTCCGTAATTTGGATCAATTTTAGAACATTGGAAGCGCCTACGCGGAGATCTGCAAATATCTTGTTCGCAATATTATCTACCTAGATAATTTCTCCCCAAGGAGTATGTACTTGTATGGAGTACACAGGTCCACGCACTGAAACTCGGCTCCGCTTGGGCGGGAAATGACCTCAGGAGCTCCACGGGATTATGTATTTCCTCCAACGGTACGGAGTAAATATCGGTTGCAAACTGTCAACTGGAGAAGTTTGACGATCAGAATTTTCGTTTCAACCGTCGAGGTCACAGCCCAAAGCCACAAAGACCGGGGTGGCGTGGGTCGTTCAAAGAGACCTGTCAATGAGAGGGTAAAAAAAAACTTTGTGGAAAATAGAGTGATATTAGCCGATCTACTCTCAGCGCATAGACGTAATTAGGGAACCTCTTGAGGGGAAGGGAGATGGAGTACAAGTTATGAAGGGTCCTTTTCAATACGCAGCGCTTCGTCTCATGTGCATTTTGTCCCGTGTCTGACCCAATTGGGAAGATCAGCCCCCTCGTCCCCTGGTTTGGGCGCGCGGGTGCCTGATTACTTAATATATTACAGGGTGCTCATTGGTTGGTATTTTATTTGTCCCGTGGTACCACACCATACAAGGAGCACAAACAAACGTGAAAAAAGGTGAAAGTACCCGGTACTCAATTCCACTAAGACTTGCCCCTGTAATGCTAAGTACCTCATACCTGGTCTGGGGGAACACAGACCTCCTTGACCCTTTCTCAAGGGATCCATTGTCCGTCATCTCTCTCCCCTAAACTCCTCTCTCTCTCCTGCACACATTCGTTACTATCGACAAAAACCGATTCCCTTCTCTCGTTAATTCTCTGCTTTGACGGGCTCATCAACTCGACTCCAGGCCACGGTCGCTCCTAACGTTTAGGGGGTGAACCTCTCGACTTCTCTCGTCAAACGCGAAATCACCTTCCTTTACCCCCGGTCGCTTCTCACGCAAGTGACGCCCGAGAATACAAAACACGAACAAAGCGTGTTGACCTGCGACCAAACGCCACCGGCATACATTCAAACAGAAATTAAGGGTTGCGCAGGCCGTTTCCACTTTCTTCACACCTCTGAGACTGTGTCCAGTGGTGATTTACTTTGTACCTTTCGCCCTTCGAAACTCGATCTTATTTCCGATACATCATGTTGTTCAATATCCACAACGCACTTGCGGTAGCTAGCGTCTTGGTTGCGAGCACCGCGGCAGATGGCTTCAAGGTCCTTCCACGAGGAGCCGACGGAACCCTCGTCGGCTGCTATTCTTCGATTCCTGGATATGGCGCATCGAAGAGTTGGACATACCAGAGTTCTGGTTGGTGCTTGGATCGCTGCTATGGCCAGAGCAAAGCAGCTTTCGCTCTGACAGGAGGCTCCGATTGTGTTTGCGGTGACACATTACCACCCGACAGTGACAAGGTTTCAACCGACAAGTGCAGCAAGTCTTGCAGTGGTTGGCCCGAGGACAAGTGTACGTGTACATCTGATCGATTCTCTGGGAAGCAAAAGGCTAACGTGCGATAGGTGGTGGCAATGGTTACTACTCTGTTTACACTACAAACTACGAAGACGATGTTCCCACATACTCGGATTCATCAAGCTCAACTACGACCACCGGAGGATCAGGATCATCCACATCGACAACCGAGGCTAGTGTTGCCGTTTCCACTGCAGCAAGCGGACAGACCACAGTGGTGACAGCTCACAGCGAGGCCACACCAACTGCGGAAACGTCTGATGAGAAGAAGGCCTCAAGCAGCAAGAATACTGCTGCTATTGCGGCTGGAGTAGTTGTTGGAGTAGTCGGATTTGCCGCTCTCTGCGGTGCTGGCTTCTTCTGGTGGCGATCCAAGAACAACAAGTCTAACGCTGCCATGGGCGGCCCCACGGGCGGATATGGTCGCGACTCTAACCCTCCATCAATGTCCGATTCGCGCTTCGATGGGGATTACATGGCTCAGCGCCGCCAGAGCAATGGCAGCATTGATGATGACCATGACTTCTCTCGCCGGATCTTGCAGGTAAATACTAGCAGTTGCACTTGATTTTGTTCCCACGCTGACTATATCAGGTTACGAACCCCGATCGCTAAACCAATTATCCGAACCATTCATGTTCCCCATTTTCCTTCTGTTTATTCGGTATTAGCGCGCCCATGTCCTTTCCCCTCCCAACCTGCTTTATGAGAGCCTCTCACTATCATCCTTGTTTTATGCGGGCCGCTTGGTGGGGCTGTGATATCCGCAAGGCATAATCGACATCTTCTCTGTCCCCTGACTACCTCTGGATAGTACGCCTTGGTTTATATGGCAGCCTCAATGACGTTACCATGCCATTTGCCCGCACCTACACATCATAGGCTAGGGATCGATCTATACCCATTGGCGTCTCCTCCAAGCACCGCAACTTTGTATCATTTTTGATTACCGCGAAGTCTCCGTGGGTATGGAGGCTTCTTGTTCCAAAAGGAGTTTTGCTATCTCGGCTCTATCAACACTCACCATATTTTACACCCTACGGGCACATCATTCCTTTACGTGATTGTCTTTACCCCCCCCCTTTTTTTTCTTCTGATATCTCCGGTTTTCAGTTGGGTCCTTTGGTTATCAGTCTGACTTTGGGCTTCTCGCATTCTGTATCTTGCTCTGATTTGATCTAATTCGGGGGTGACTGTAAATAGGAGTGATCAATCAGTTGTACTTAATGTGAGAATGGATATGCACATCAGTTTATGAATACTTGCTTTTAGGTGCTACTGACACGAGTCATCCCTAGGATGTCTGCACGCTGCACGATAGCCCTTATCAAATTGTCCACGTCTTATCTACCTAGGTATCCTTCGGTGCTTCCGCGCTACGAGAGTGCAGAGTACCACAGGCAGGCTTCTCCAAAGCTCCCATGCTTTCCGATGTTGACATGCTAGCCCATTGGAGTGACTTGACCGTGGTGTTAGGCTGGTAGTACTCGTCTTTCCTTTCGCCATGAAGAATGTGTCTTCAAAAAGCTAACCTTGGAATCATCATGCCCGCGAAGCAGAGAAATAATGTCAAACTCGACACTGCATATTGTCATTCAAGCTCCTTCTAGCCCGAGATCAAGAAATATATGGCTTTATCGCATACTTCTACATTCAAACCAAGGGAGAAAATCATGAGAAAAACCGCGTTGCTGGACGTGTGATCGTCAGACTCACTTTCACTCCGAAATCCCCGGAGTTCAGCCAAATCATGACACTCCCCACCAGAATTCGACCTCTGATTCTTTCATGGCGTGCTCATCTCACAAAGATTCTCGTGGGTTATTGAAGCTACTGAGCCAAGGGGAAGAGACACAAAACGATCCATCCGGGCGGGAAAAGAGGTTGCTGAAGGCCTACGTGGAAGAGCTACTTGACGCTCATAACGTCGCTGCAGCTCCATCGAGATCAACCCCGATGAACACCTCTTGCCGACTACCTCTGCTTACGCCGGCGTATGTTGCTCCGCTTGCGAACTCAGCTTCTCTTCCATGGGTCTCACACCATTCAAAATTTGGACGCATTGCTTGTAAAAATCGTCGATCGTGAAACTCGGCTCACTTGATATGCCTGAAGTGATCCAAGTGAGGCATATCACCCAGCGCCTTCATGACGATCATCATGTTGTATGCTGGGGTCTTCAACCCAATGTTGTCACCTTCAGAGTGTCAATGTTGCAAATCGGTGATCAAGGCCTGTAAGGTCGGGTATGCGGTTCTTCGAATGTCTCTGATCGTTATTTAGATCCTACTAAAACGAGCAGGTTCTTCACCTCTGAAGCCGCTGCGCAGATACTCCATGGATCAATCCGCGAAAGTGGCCCCTATGCCTCGAGCTTCAACCTTGTTGACGATATCGCTTGTTACATATTCATCGTGACCCAGCGTCTCGTCGACTGGGAGAGTTGATACCATTTCTCAGCATCCTTGTGGTTGGGATTCGGCCTCTTGACGCCAGATTCGACCAGGTTTTGCTGTTTGTGTGACCGCGGAGCTCTCATAATCGATCAAGGCCATTCTTCAAAATTGCCATGCGCTCAAAGGAATATGGGCTCTGTACAGAGTGAAATTGATTGATGCACTTCTAGTGTTTATTTTGCATGGTATAGACGGCAAAAGATAAGTCCACAGGCCCCGAGACATTCGTCGCTCCAGGGATTTTAAAACCTGGATGTGCCAAGGTTTTCAATGTCAGATCAATCGATATATATCCCTGGATATACAATATCCGAAAGACCTCGGGACGTCTCAACTCTCACACTATTAGGTGGCAAGGCTACTTGAGTAGCACCTCGGCAGAACGAATTCATGGACGAGACCGATAGCCCTGGACATGCAACCTTGGAAGGCATGGGGACATGAATAAGTAGGTACATAGTAGGTACCTATATCAAGTGAGGTCTTTATCCGAGGATGATCCAATCCCGGATGCCTTGAAGCGAGGGATATACGGGGTCTCATCTCAACTTGAAGCTTGTAAAGCTCGAGGAAAGATGCTATAAAACCGTCACATCATCTACGGTCATGATCCGTTTAGATGACCACCTGTGGAGTCAACCTTGGAGAGAGCTGTTTTCATTCTGCTTCTGCTTTCAGCACAGAGATGGGATGAGAATCCGATTTTACCTACAGACCCCCAGCAGTTATTGGACTCATGCAAATTGCCCATCTCAAATCCTGGAATCTGGGACAGTCGGCAGAAGCGCTCATTCTTGATATTGGATGAGGGAGTATCAGGCAGCATTGAACTTCATGCAGTCTCTCGGTCCAGTCTCGGGATTTCGGACAAGCGGACACTCCCAAATCTTTCTCATCGATACTTAGTACCTAACCCCCTCACCTTGAGCATGACATCAGACAGGTACAAAATCGGAATCCCATGAAGCCACCGAGGTCATAATCGACAGCTGCCTAGCTTTGACACCAACTCGCCAGATTCTTAGCCGCCCGGCCGCACGTATCAACACCCCCGGGGAATAAACACACGCCATGAGCCAACAGCGCCTAGAAGTAGCCCATCCCTGCTCGAGAGTCAAAAATCTCCGAGCGACGAGGGTTCAAGACCATCTAGACTGGTGGGGAATAACAAAGGAGTTTGACAGATTTGATATGATTGGTAAGATGAGGGAGATCAGATCCACGTCCCCGGGTACTCTCCTCTCTTATCCACCGGACTCGAAGGATGAAGCAAGCCCAAGTTGGAACTGTTTACTCAATTCGATCGACTCGTGCTGTAGTAAGTTACCCGCGCAGTAGTGGTCCGAGGCTAGGCAGAGAATGGAGTCAACAATGGGGGCGAAGGCTAGATAAAATAGGGAAGGAAATAGTGCCAGAGGTTGGGGGATTCCGTTGGAAATCTACAGAGCAGTTTAGAGCCAACTACGGAAAATCTTGTAAATGGAACCATACCTACTCCTGAAGTCTGTACTACGTAGGTAGAACTTTAGAATTGATATCAGGTTTACGAGTACACAATATATCAGATACTACGTCAAACGTAGTGACATTGATCCGAACCCGAACCGACGATACATAAGTACGGAGTATGCATTGCACACGATACCTAAACCAGTTTAAAGCAGCAGTAATCCAGCCATCTTCCCAATCGGAAATTTGTTACACGGCACTCTGCAACATTTCAAATAGCCGACCAACCATATGTAGAGAAAAACCAACAGCGTTTACATGCATAGAACAACAAAGCATGATGTCATATAAACATTTCTGGTCTAACCATCCCTGGAGCCATATGTATATTTAGGATAATTAGGATTTTGAGGATATTTAGTACGATTAGTCTATGTCCGAAATTGGAAAGACGAAAGCCATAATTGGGGTCTTTTCTAAAATTGCATACTGAGTTACATGACTTACGAGTAACATGTACTCGTAGGCGTCCGCGGGAATCTAACGTGGGAGCAAAAGACGGTGAAATGTTCCTTAATTAGCTCCTGCCTTCGCCACCCACTTTACCCCCTTACGAGTACTGACAAGAACTATAGGGTTGAATGTAGCATTGATCTCTGTAACCCATAGCTGCAACTCACTTACATTCCGCAGTTGGCGGTCTCCTGATCAAAGACACCGCTGGGGGCCCCGACGAAGTCTGAAACGACATGGAATGATCTACTCCGTATGTGCCATGTGTCCATGCATGCGCTCTTAACTAAGCAACGAACATATCAGTTTCATATATCTTGAGATGCATATCTTGAAACCGAAGGGGCAGAATGAGCCATGTGCACATGCAGATCAATCGATACTAAGGTCCAGATCACGAGGATCATACCATTTAGAGTATACCGCCACAGCCAAAGTCTTCGTCGACAAACAAGGCTGACTTCGACTTCCATTTTGCGCTTGGTAAGTTATGCTCACACCCCTTGGATGTGCCGATCGGACCGTTTCTGAAGTACGGAGTACAGGGTTACAATACTATTATGTATAAATTGTGTGAGCACTAGTTACCAGCATCAGATCGAGTGTGCCAAAACCCGCAAAACCCGAACACATCATTAGACTGGTCGGGTTTTGCGGGTTTTGGTGATATGAGGCCAAATTCACATGCACCGTGTTTTACGTATGGTGAAATATGATCGACATGTGCCCGGCTATGCTGCTAATTCTACAGTGATTCTTAGTGAGTTCTAGGATATTGATTGACGGGTTTGCAGTGATACTCGTGTCTGATAGGTCGAGCGACAACCACTGTAGACGATCGCATGAATCATGTGAGAGGGATATGTAGACTAACACCGAGATTGATGAGTAAATATAGATAAGTACATTTGTACTCCAGTAGAAGGAGATTAAAATACCTCGATCGGCATAGTCACCTTCCCGAATGCCCCAAGTCTCTCCCATGCATGATTGCCAGCCACGTGAACTTTAGAACGGGTGGTCAGCAAGATGAAACATGTCGAGACCACGACAGTTCCTGATTGAGCCTTTACTAGAATTAGTCCTTTGCCCAGATATGGCTAGGGTCATATGCAGCAGGGGTGCATGGGCTTTATATGGACTGTGCATTAGTTTGCGCATTATTGCGTGCCCTAAATTAGTTCGCATTCCCCGACT